CCCTCATACATTTAAAACAGGCTTTGAAATCATCGCATGCACAATCCAATGTATGTTCAGGCAGAAAAAGGGTTCTGCAGCTCCCATCATTCCCTGTCAACCATCTTGGCCTGTGCATGCTGGGTTGTAAGACTTTTCGGCCTCCAAATATATAGGATTGCACCCCCTCATGAACAAAGCAAATAAAACATATAATCATTAATGGATGCTTGATTATTAAGGTTGAAAGCTGCAAGACTTGGGGTTTTGTTTTTAATTCTTTGCATATTCTGCAAGCTGCTGTTGAACAACAATTCCTCTGGAAGAGAACAGCAGGGAATTAAACAAAAAAAATCGCTTTAGATACCTTGGGACTTTCTGTGCAACTGGAAAAATTAAGGACTTTTACAATGAAACATGAGCAGTATATTTAGTTCTCAGTCCAATTACGGGTAAGTGAGTTAGCAGCTCTTTAGACAGGAGCCGTCTGCTCTTAATATTGAACATTAACCCATTTCAAATTTCCACTCGAAGACTGTTTCCCCGGCCACAAAAAATTGAACCAATAGGTGCATCTTGCCCTGTTCTGTTGCATCTCTCACAAATCAAATCTTTTCTGGAGTATTTGGTGCTAATTGACCTGACCTAAGATGCTTTGCTTGTAAACAGCAGTAGTTTTTGATTTTTCCAGGAAACATGTTCCTGAGGTGGGAGGTTGTAAAGTTTTGCCCTGTGTAGGCACACTTAAAAGTTCTGCAGTGCTCTGGTTGCAGAGAAAACCATATGACGCAAAACCCCTTAAATGACTACAAACAGGTAAGGCAGAAGCTGGCTCTCTTGCTAATTTCATTGGGCAAGTTCTACCAGATCAGAAAAGGTTTTTTGATCACCCTGTGGCTGATTTACAGAAGCAAAACCCTGGGCAAGGCAGGGTTGAGCTGCAGTTGGTGCCAGCCTGGGACCCAGGAGGTCTGGGTCCTAGCCCTCCCTTTGGCATAAAGCTCACTGAGTTACCTTGGCCCAGTCCCTAAGCTACCTTACAGGGTTGTTGTGAGGATAAAAGGCAGCCAGAGGAATAAAAAAAGGGTGGCTTCAAACATACAAACATAATTACTAATAGAGTATATTATATTTATAAATTATAATATAGAGCATATTACATATTTTCAGCACCAGGTTAAAACCTTTTTAACTGTTATTTTAAAAATAATTAAAATTTTAATGTTTAACAGTTGCTTTTATATATTTAACTTAAACTTATTTTAAATTAACTTATTTAATTGGTTTTTTGGTTATTTACCGCTGTTTCATTGTTGTTGCTTTAATGATTGTAAGCCATCCCAAGATGCCATGCATAAGGGACGGCATACAAAAGTTCTAAATAAACAAACATCTTTCTCTAGCTATAAAATTGATTTCTGAAATGATGAAAGCTTGGGGTAACCAGCGGTGGGGATTTCTTGCATGGGCTAAGTTCAGTCCTGGCAACCAGAGCGACTTCCAGCGCTTGGAATGCTCTCTGGGGAATCTCCTTGTTCCTACCCAGGTTGGCCCTAAACAGACTTGTGCGCGATTGTGCTTGCAGGCATCTTGTGTTTTTCCCTGGCTCCAGGCAGAGATCGCTGCTTAATCATCCACCAGGATGATCCACTTGTCTGTGGGTGATCGTCACCTCTCCCCAAGCTGTGCCTTATATGCTAGATATATTCCAGAAGCTTAGTTGCCCAGTTTTAGGCAATTCAGCCCCCTGTAGATGCTTACAAACCTCATCCCAAGTGAAGGGTCCCCCATATGCTGGCCTTAAGCTCCCTCTGCTGGAAACTGAGAGATGCATCTCCCAGTCTCCCGCAGCCACCAAAGCGGGCGATAGGTGGAGGGGCCCATCTAGGACCAAGGGTTTTAAGGGGCACTGCTGCTTGGCACCCAGAACTGGGAGAGTTGCCAAAAGCACCGAGCAGCCAGGCCAAAATGGGGGCAGGGAGAGCAAAGATCGTGCCACCTTGACAGCCGCAGCCTATAAAGCTTTGCACACAAAAGGACTCAGGCTCAAGACCCAGCATCCCCAGGCAGGCTCCCATCTGCAACTGAGCTGATCCAGTCCTTGCAAACAGTCCCCAGCAAAGAGAGGTGGGGGCATTTTGTGTCCTCAGTGGAACTCAAGAGTGCAGGTGGGTAGCCAGGAGCAAGGAATGCAGCAACGGAGGGGGCGTTCCCACAACTCGTGCCCTGCCGGAAATGTGACTGTTACAGCTGCTGCCCTTTCAAACAAGGGAAAGGCAGTGGAGAAGTTGGTGGTTTCTTGAGGGGGTGCCAAGGCAGGTGAACCCACATCTTTCTGCAGCTCCATCTTTGAGCTGTAGGGCAGGAATGGGGTGTCTGGCCCCACGCTGGAGGGCCCTTCCAACAGCGGCTTCCGACGGCCGTCTCCAGGAGAGCACCCGGCCTTAGCATCCTCCCTGTTGGCCAAAGTGCTGCTAACACAACATACACATACAGATGCCCAAGGCCACAAATCAAAATGGCAGCAGGGGCTTTTACTGGGTGTTTCACCCAGTTTGTATGGGATGTGGTGCCCACCTCATCAGCTCTCGATTAGTAAGGGAGTGAAGACACAGGGCCTACCAGGGCATGATTTTCCTACTGTTCCCCCCGTTACCAGGATGCAGCTGGGCCCTGATACGATGGCACCCTAAAACGCTTTCTGAAGGGATCTTTCAGCCTGGAACATCTTCCACTCAGGAGTGACTTGGCCTACGGCTCAAACGGGGTAGCCCTATTTGAGTACAACCACCCAGGGCAGGCTGCCTTTAGATGGGCACAAGGCTTTGGCGACAACCCTGCGGGCAGCCAGCGGCCTGTCTTTGTAGCCAGCTTGGGCTAGTCCTGGAGCAAAAGGCAAAGAGACATATGACCGCCCTTTTTGAGGTTCATGTTTGCAGGGAATCCAGAAAGGTTGCACAGGGAGCATTCCCGCCCCACAGGAAGGGCTCCTCTCCCATGCTGAAGCATAGATTCAGGGGGGGGCCTGGCTCTTACCTCCCCATCTCCACTGCAAGCTTTCTGTATTGGCTTCTTCACCATGTTCGAAGATAGGCTGGACGTCCACATGGTGGGCATGTCGTGAGTGGAGCCGGCTGGAGCCAGGGGTCAGACTAGATGGCCTGGGAGGCCCCTTCTGACTCATGCTGTTTCTGTGCTCTTCTGAACTGCCTTCCAAGAATGGGGCTGTCTTGGGATGTGCGTGTTGCTTTGGTCCCCTCGCTTTTCCATGAAGGAACCAGGGAGCAACGGTAGGGAGGAGGGTGCTGGTAAACAGCCAGATTCAGAGCTTGCCCAGAAAACTGGGGCAAGGCTGTGTCAAAGCCCGGAGAACTTTTGCGGGTGGGTCTGTCACGGGTTGGCTTTGGCTACCCTTTTAAAGATCCGCACTGCAAAAGGCAGGCTCCCCCCCCCCCTTGGCCCAATCTCCTGCAGTTCCAGTAGCAAGACCCACCTGGTAAGATACCTGCTGTGGAATTGCACCCAGTATCAACCTGACACTGAGCCAGAGCCTCCATGGTTTATTTTTGATGGCTGTTAAAGAGAAAGCAAAGCAGTTTAACTCTTGGCGAAAGGAAGAGGCTTCTCAGCCTTGGTAGCACCATCTTCAGGTGTGTCCCTGACATGTGGGTTCCGCCGCTCTTGCCTTTTCCACCCATGGTTGGGAGTCTGGCTGCTTGGGAAGCGCAAGAGGAGGCATCCGCGCCCCCCCCCAGCAATGAGACAGGTAATTTGGGCAGGAAAGGAGGCCTCAGAGCAGCCTCCTGGACATAGGCCACCTCTGGCTTGTCACCTGCGATGCGCTGTGCCATCTTCACCAGCCAGAACTGCAGGCCTTCCACTGCCTTTAGTTATTCCCACCATCCACCAACATACTCCTATGCTACAAAGGTGCTTCAAGTCTCAAGCATGCAGCCCAAGACAACAGCAGGAAAGCAATTACAACCACCCCACGGGAAGGCAGTTCCTCATTTAGCACCGACTGCCTTTTCCTTCCTTCATTTTCTGTCGGGCTCCCTCGGACAGCCACACCTAGCGGCTTCTTGGTCCGTTTCCTCCCTTCTCACGGAAGGCCACCCGCTCCTGTGCCCTTGTGATGAGTTCTGCAAGTAAAAGCAGCCCATGTCCGAGTGGAAGGGCTGCGACTCCGACCTGGCTCCAAGAGGGACAGCTGGGGTGGGATGCCACAGCCAGGCCTGCCACAGGAATGCTGCACCTCCCGGAGCAAAGGCCCTGCATTTTCCCGGAGAACAAGTCCAAAACCACCCTGGAGCAGAATACGTGAGGGAGCAGCTGACCCACGCCAGCCACCGAGACGATGCTGCTGTAGTGATCAGCCGGCTCCTCCGTGCACAGATCACACAGGCCCCCAAACAGGGCCTTCACTGTCACGGCCCCTGCCTGAAGTTCTCCACAAGCTAGGCAGGGTCTAGCTCCCACCAACTTTCGGACGTACGCCAAAAATGCTTCCCGACATTCCCGTAATGGCAGCCTCGATCTCATCCCCTGCGGAAAGACTTCATTTCCGACAGGACGCAGACCTTTAATGCGAGGCCTTAAGAAACAAAGCAAGCAAGAGCAGGCGAATGGAGAAACGCACCTGAGCTGGAGCCAGGCTCTGCAGCCCCCTCACTGGTGGGGGTCGCCTGGCTTGTCCAGACTGCCAGGGCCTCTGGAGAGCCAGCTACTGTGCAGCCACCGCCTCCTTCCCAACACCAAGCCTCGCACTGCACACCAGGCACACCGCCAGGGCTATCGCCAGCCCGAAGAGCCTGCTGCTGGGAACCGGCCCCAGAGGGGCTGGGGACTAGGCGGGCCAACTGTCCAAACAGCCGGTCTTTACGCAACTCGATCCCCAAGGCTTCCTCAGCACTCTACTGGGCCTGCCACATCATGAGAAGTCAGTCCCCGCTCAGGAGAGTCCCTTTACTTCTCAAACCCCTATGACGTCTATCACGAGGGCACATGCATGGAGTCAACTGTGTTTTTCACTTAGCGTTTATTCAATTCCTTTTGTACACATCCATTCTGCCGCGTAATCCACTGAAGAAAACCACCCTGCGACCTTGTCTTCACAGCCAATGCTGCAGTCCTCATTTGTCGCTTCTCTTCCTAGCAGCACACAGCTGAAACAAGGGAAAAAAAGGGAAGATTAAGTTTTAGTGCCCAGGCAGAGGGAGCTCAGGAGCATGCGGCCAGCATTAAATCCAGGTTTCCAGAGCAAAGCTCTACAAGCTTTTCCAAGCTGGTGCCCTTCTAATTGGTTTGTTGGCACACAGCTCCCACATTTCTGCCACTGGAAGATCAGGGAAGCTTGCTCCAGAGTTGAGGGCTCAACACCCCAAGTAGCTTGTTAAAGATAAATCAACAGCCAGAGATGCTGAACACGCAGTACAAAAGCCGTACCTGCTCCTTGTGAAGCTGGTTGAAGACCAGAGCCTCAATGAGGTCCTCAGCCGCAAACACTGTCCTGCTCCAGCTCAGCTTTTCTTCATCAACCTGCCAAGACAAACCTGCGTTACCAAAGACACAGCCACACTGAGACGGCTTCGGTGTCCACCCTGCCCACCCCTCAACAGACAGGCAAGAGGGCCCACAAAAGGGCTTTCACAGCCCAATTGTGGACCCAACCCCCCCGATCTCCAAAGCCCGGTGTGGGCCAGCCCTGCTCCAAAACTGAATCAGTGCCTCCCTCAGCCTGGCCAGCAAGCGCCTGATCCCACAAAAAGTAGTTAGTCACTGTTGATAATGGTTGCTTAGAAATAGTATGGGCTACGGGGAGAAAGTTAAAATGCAAACGAGATGGCAAAGAACGTTAACAGTTACGTGACTTAAAAGTGAAGTCTTAAGAAAGTCTCGAGAGACGAGCATCATTGCTTAGGGGAGGTTTCGGCTCCCCAACTCACATGTGACCTACTGGCAACACACACCCCTTGTGACCCATGTCAAATTTATGCCACAAAAATCAAAGACTCCATACAGGAAAGCACTTTTTTTTAAAGAGCTTCTTTTTTAGCTGACCAAACTTGGCAGAGAAAAATTTGGTGCACGTGGGTTAACCATCTTTCTAAAAGAAATAAAAATTATATATATGAGCTCTCAACAGGAGGAAGGGATGCGGACATGAGGAAAAGAGTTACCTCGAATTACGGGACTATCCCCACAAATGAACTAGCCAAGAGAGCAGCTTTCGTCTGAGGTTCTCTCTGTTGGAGGCACAACACTTCTTTTTCGCCAAGGCACTGCCGTTTTCCATACGCTAGCAGAGAATTCTTAGAACTTAGAAGGCAATGACAAAGCTAGCTAAATTAGGTCACAGTTACTCGCCTTGGAACACTGTCAGACTAGCAGCGGCTGACCCAGTTAGTGAAACTCCATTGCAGGCTGTGTGTTTGGCTGGCTCTCCCCTAGCGTGGTGTCGGCTGCTTCTCACTTAAACTCATGTGGGCCCATCGCTGCAATTATCTATTTGTTTTGCATCACAAGCAACATGTTACTATGGGAATCCGAGGAATCCACAGTATTCTTTTCAAAGGTTGGATCAATTCCAGCCAAACCTAAAGCACTCCCATGAAGGGCAAGGGAATTTCTTATGTCCCTTCTGAAACCTTTCTGTGACCCTCAGGCTATCTGAGCTAGGCCCTGTAAGCACAACAGGCCTCAGTACATACACTGAGTGCTCACTGCAGGCATGGAGCCTGCCCGTCTCTCCCTAGCAGCAGCTTCTCCCTCTCTCCGCTGTCCTGTCTAGCTGTACTTTCTCCACTTTCGTCCAGACTTGTGTTGTGCAGCAAGATGTAAGATTTCAAGAGCAATTTTTTTTCAGATGGACTTTTAATAGGCTTCGTGAAGCCAGAGGAAAACTGTACAAGAAATCCTTTTCACCACTTCAAAATTACAACATCAATTGTATTAGGCATACTTTCTTCCAGTAAAAAAAGGACAATAGAAACAAACAATTTTCAACGAACCTCTTGCTTGGTTAAGAATTGCAGTGTCTTTCTGGGTTAAGTTGTATGGCGTACAAGTAGTTTCTTAATGCAAGTTCAACATACAAGCATCTCTTTAGATATATCAAGGTGGGTTGCCTTTCAAAGTTTATACCCAGGCTACAATACCTACCTTGCTACACTAAAGTTTAGGTTACAAATCAAAGCACTAAACAAAACAAAACAAAAAAAAGACTTCACAGCTTGCTCAGCTTCTACTGAACAATTAAGGTCCTTTCTTGCTCAACAGAAACACCAAAAATGGGGCCCCAAAACCTTCTGATCTTTTTCTTTTGAAAAAGAAAAGCTAACACACACCTCTGCTCACAAAGGATCTAGAATTGTGAAGCGTTTTAAAAATATTAAAACACTTGAGGAAAAAAGCTTTCTTTGAGGCTGACCAAACTATCACATACTAGAAGCTGTCAGGCTGTGTTTGACAAGGTTGGAACTGCAAGTTTACTACAAAAGTGAGAATACAAAGGAGATGACTACACAAGAACGATTTCAGCGGAGCTCCAAAAATCTTTATAAATACAGCCATTGGAAGGACGATCTTGAGCCAGGAAGATTTTTTACTCGTTGTGTGTAGCTGAGGACAAGAAGCAGGCACAGTTGTAAAGGCACTGAAGCATAGACAAGATCCACCATTTTTCCTCCCCTGCTTGCTTGCCAAGTACCAAAAAGGCTACCTTGCTACCTCAGGTCCCACCCCTTCTCGACTCTGGGTCTTCTGAGAGGAATTCTGGTGTGTTATTTTCAGCTTCAGAAAAGGCTAGTTATGTATGCTTTGCCTCTGGATCCAACTAGAGCTACACATGCATTAATGAGGGTGTTTTTCCTTTCCTGCGGCACGAGCACTTAAGGCCTGCCAAAGGAGCGACGCTTCTCAAAGGCAAGGGACTGCCAGCAATAGGCTCCAAGCAAACCTTACAGCACTTCCACGGTTATCACTGCAAGATCAAAAGTGGTCCACGCATGCCCGTGTCAGCACAGCCTCCTGTCCCTCGGGATCAAGGACTTACCGTAACTGTCATAGCTGTCTCTGTAGGATCCGCCGGAAGGCCTGTCACCATAGCTGCCTTGACTCCTGCTGCGGAGGAACGGGACAAGGGAGAGCGCTCACCAGGTGTTCCCACAAGCGCACAAGCGTGGTCTGACATGCCTGCAGCCCACCCATGTTCACTCACCTGCTGCTGTAGTAATCTCTGGATCCACTGTAGCCTCCCCCACTTCTGGATTCGAATCTACTGCCACCACCATAGCCTCTATCTCCCCCGGCACCTGCAGAAAAGACCACAGGGGCTACAGCACATCTGGCGGGCTGCCACCAACAGGACACAGCCTAAAGGGCGTCTGAGCAGCAGCTCACCTCTGGAAAAGCCCCGGCCCCTTCCTCTACCTCCGCGGAAGAAGCCTCTGCCACCAGCCGAGCCCCCTCTGTATCCACGAGATCTGTTCTCAGAGGATTTGCCAGCTTGATCCACTCTGATTTGGCGGCCGTCGACAGACTGAAAGAATGGTAATGAGAGTCTCAGGATCAATGTAGCAACGCCTTGCTCTTGTCCTCACACAGTTTGTCCCATAAGGGGCTACCCAGCTGGCTGAGTATTGTAGTCAAACCCAAAATATACCCATAATGCAATTAGTTTTGTTTCGCAAGTTGTCAATCTGAGGGCCACTGCACCAGTTCACTTATTTATTTTTCAATTTATATCCTGCCTTTTTCCTACAAAAGGCGCAAGGCAGCTTACATCACTCTCCTCCTCCATCTCATCCCCACAACAACAACCCTGTGAGGTAGGTTGGGCTGAGCATCTGTGACTGGCCCAAAGCCACCCAGTTGGCTCCATGGCCGAGCGGGGACTCGAACCCAGATCCTGTGAGTTCCAGTCCCAGCTCTTAACCACGACACCACACTGGCTCCCAATCAATGCTTAATCACTTAATGCTTTGTCAACAAGTGTGGCCACATCCAAAAAAAGTACATTTTTCTATCATTACTCAGCTACTTTACACCTAGAACTTCTTACCTTCCCATTCATGGCCATCATAGCATCTTTTGCATCATCAATGTTCTCAAAAGTGACAAAGCCAAACCCTCTTGATCGCTGGGTTTCTCTGTCTTTTACGACAACAACTAAAGGAAAAGAGACATATTTAAGGTTGTGTTTAATGCCTTATCTCTCATAATTGCACCGAGCTTTCAGAAATCCAAGTGGCAAACAAAACCAATTACATATTTTGATATATTTATACCTTCAGCTATCTGTCCATATTTAGAGAAGACTTGCTCCAGTGACTGCTCATTGGTGTCAAAGCTGAGTCCACCAACAAAGAGTTTCCCTTCATCTGATGCCATTTTTTTTTCACTGCAAACAAAAGGTAAGCCTTGGTCAATTGAGTAACCACCAAAAGGAGAAATGCAACAGCCTTCATCCCAAATATTTGTCTTGAACTGACAGGGGTCAGGGCCCACTGGCAGACTGGGGAGGCCAGTTCAATTATCTGTCACTAACTAGTTGTATAAAATCAAGGGTAAAACTTTACATTGAAAAGAAAGTTTGTAGGTAACTATTGAAAATATATGAGCTTTACCTTTTCTTCACAAAAAAGGGAGAAAAATATTCAAACTATGTGCATCTGATGGAAAGATTTGTGTGAAACAATCCAAAGACACAGTACATTATAGCTATTTATATATGACCTCCTTATCTCACCCTTCCATGCCTTTTCTTTGATTTGTCTCATATTGTTTGCACAGAAATATGACACATTTTTTTAAAACAAAAAATTATTTGCTCTTTTAGGAGACGATTTCTTCATGTTTTGTCTGGGAGGAAAGAAAACCAGCACAAGCAATCAGCTGAAACTTTTTAATAAATCAGAAGTGAAATAAATGTGCACTTGAGGGCATGATCTGAGGCATGTCTGTTTGTTTACAGCTTTTATATCCCATCCTTCACTGTGTCCCAGGGCTGTAATATAATAAAATGCAAAATAAAAAATTACAATAAACAAAACCCAATGTTTAGACATATAAAGTCCTACAACTTCCAGCATTTTCCACCCAGCAAACAAATAAAAATGAAGTATACTTGTGCATATTAAAGCCTCATATAATATGCTTTAGGCTTTAAAAAATAAAAACCTCTCTAGCAGTAAGGAAATAAAAGGCAGTGAAAACACATGCACACGACTAAACGTTAAGCAATGTTTTTCTATCCTAGGAAATACTCTTACTTTAAGTTGCACCAACTTGCTTGCCTAAAACCCTATTCCGCCCCCCCCACCGCCCAGTATCAAGCCAATTCACGTGCGGAAACGGAATTTAGCCCCTTTCTGCGCATACGCAGAACGTGCCGCACGAAGTCGCTCGAGAACGCGCAGACTCTAGCAGCGCATGCGCAGATATCAAACCGCTCCTTTACCTCCGCCCACGCCCCTCGCCCCCTGTAGCGCATGCGCAGGGAGTCAGCCGACCGCTATTTAGCCTGCCCTGCACCCGCCGCCGCCATTTTGAGGCTTCTCTCAAAAAGCCGGTCGGAAGCCATTTTGTGCTTTTTTGTTTTTGTTTCCGCCCGCTCTTTCTGGCTACCCGCCCCCCCCCAAAGCGCCCGCTACAATATGGCTATTAAAATAAGACATCTCAACTATTCCTAAGCCAAAATCCCTATTTCGCTAATTTTTAAAAAATTATTCTGGCGTATCAGCCATTTCTTCCCCGCCCCCTCTCCTCCCCCTACCTCTCCCTTACCGATATGCAGTTTACAGCTACTAAGACGACGAACGTTCTTCAAAGTCCCACAGCAAAGAACGCTGAGGGTTGGCTGAGTCTCCGCTTATATAACTCTTCGGGGGCACCGCCTACCTCATGAATATGTAGACAAGTCTTGCTCCGTAAAATGGCACTCCCTATGCCCCGCCCCTTTCCCGCTAGCATGAGGTAATCCACCACGGATGCCTGCCATTGGTTAGATACTACTTAATATTCATAAAAAAGGCGAGGAGGGGGAAGTGCTTGTGGTGAAGGGGAGGGGAAAATCCTCTTTTCCGTTCAGCCCCACCACTTGGGGCCGCGTGCAAAAGAGCAACGAAAAGGAAGACGTCATTGGATGAAAGGAAGGGGAGGGACAGGTATGGTAGAGCGGCAACAATCCCCGCCTCTGCTCTTGATTGGTCCAGACTCCCTCGCAGCCAACCGCAAGGCCCGATTAGAGGTGGGGAAGTGGGCGCGGCGATGCTGACCTACTTTCGCGCCTTTGCCGGCAATGCGGCGCGCGAGTTTTGCCGCAGCGAACAATGTGGGTGGGGGGGAGGCTCCGCCGAGGGAGCAGGTGGCGCCATTTTGGCTCTCGCCGTGCACCCACAATCCCACGCGCGGGGCCTCGCTTCGCGGATAACGTCGAAAAAACCAAACCAAACCAACCCCTCAGATTAAAAGGCGACAAAATAAACTTTTCCTCAGTCTGTTTCTCTCTCCCGCACTCTGGATATGTAGTTATGTTCTTGGGATTAGTTGGAGCTGCCCAGGGGGCGTTCAGAGATGCTAAATAAATAAATAAAAATGGGAGGTTGAAGGAGGAATGGCGTTTGACAGGATTACAATAGCAGCCCTATGTGCTTATCTATGCAAGGGCAAACCCTTTTTATTTCCCTATTATTTTAAATGGTCGTATTTTAAGACTGATTTCATACAGTATTATCCAGATACTGTATTTTTTTTGTACTACCGCACTGAGGGCAGGATATAGAAGTTTATATGTTCTTGTTTAGCGAATTTGTGTCCGACCCATCGCGACCCCATGGACAACATTCCTCCGGGCCTTCCTGTCCACCATGCCCTGGAGTCCAGCCCATCCAGCAACCTCATCCTCTGCCATTCCCTTCTTTTGCCATCAATCGTTCAAGGAGGAAACATCTTTTACTTTCTTGGCTGCAGTCCCCGTCTGTGGTGATCTTGGAGCCCAGGAAAATAAAACCTGTCACTACCTCCATTTCTTCCACATCTATTTGCCAGGAAGTGATGGAACCGGATGCCATGATCTTAGTTTTCTTAATGTTGAGTTTCAAGTTTCTTAATGTGTTCTCCTCTTTCAGCCACATCAAGAGGCTCTTTAGTTCCTCTTCACTTTCTGCCATTAAGAAGCTTATATACATCTCTCTCTCACACAAATCTCATTTAGTATGTCATATATATCAATACATTCTACATATCCAATATGATTATATATTTATTATATATTATTATATATTTAGAATATTTGTACATGGTTCAGCCAAGCAACTCTCTGAAATGGTTTACAACAAATTAAAACAACCACCCATAGCCCCAACTGAAAAACTTACATATGAGCCAAACACAACATTTAAAGTATAATCCCAATGGACAATCCATCACAGCACCCACAATGAAACTGGCCAGGCGCAACCAGCAATCCAGGATAAAATACCATATAAAACAGTGCAAAGCTTAGTTTAGCTTAGAAATTTATATTTATCTGTGACATTGGCCGTCGTTACAAGGATAAGTAATTAATTGCCCTGGAGCGTGTACATATAGTTTCTAATCACTTCAGGGAAGTTTGTTCTGTATCCCAACAGAATATGCAGTTATTCAATTAAAACCATACGTTCATTACAGTGACTAATACCACAGAAAGATTAAAGTTTAAAATGGCATGTTTTAATTTCTACATGTCTTAGCTGCACTTCTTCTAGTCGATACAGTGCCACAACGGAGTGAAGAAACACACAGTATTTGTTTCTCCAGAATTATTTGGGACCATCCAAATTGGTCCTTAGCAATCATCTACAGTCACAAATCCCACATAATGAGGGCATTCAGATACAGAACAACCCAAATTCAGCTGTGAGTTATTGTGTCATTTGAACAACCTATGAAGAAAACCTGTGGTTTGTTGGTGGGTAATGAACTGTTGTTCACCTTGGTTTGTTATCTGGCACAGTACAGACAACCAATAACCCATGTTTCAACCTACAGTTCAACCACAACCTGATGAACCCAGCAAGTGTTTACTGTGGCTGACTGAGAAGGCACCATTTTAAATTGCCTATGGCGCCCTGAGCAACTTTACATGGTGAACATCACTGAGGTGGAAGCAGATATTGGACTGTGCAAAAATGGACAGATTGACTTTGTCCCTGAGGGAGAAAGAAGATACAGACTTCTATCAAACCCGGGACTCTTTTTATCATTGGCTAGAGAAATGGGACTATGCATAGACATAAACATGTTTATAATTTAAGATAAGGAAAAAATGTGGGGGACTGACCCAGTAGGTCTGATGTTTTCGATGATTGATGCTTTTTAGTTTCTTCTTGTTAGGTATATTAAGAATGAAACCTATTCTTAAAAAAAAATCACTGGGGTGGGAGCCGCAGATGGCTCACTGGGGGAAAATATACGGCAGGGGTGTTGCTCAGAGCTGGAGCCATCCCTATGTTATTTCAGCACTATTTATATATTTATCCACACCCAAACTGAAACTGCATGTGTAGATCAAAAAGTTCAGGAAAATTCGCACAAACTGACCCGTAAGGGGAAATTTCCAGTTGTGGATTGCACCCTATTCTGAAAATTGATTCACCACCACAGAGCCCCTAGAGTAGCCCTTCAATGAATAAACCCACTGCAGTGAAAAGGACTCACGTTATCTGGAGCTAATTTAACTCTCATTTATTTCCATGAATCTAGTCCATATAAACAGTGGATACTACTCTAAGATTCTAGACCTCATGATTGTAAATAATAGGTTGCTTTTAAACAAGACTGTAGAAACCGTTTTATCCTGAGCTGGACCACTGGTGTCTTCACGGATTGGCTGCCCTGGTTGTTCAAGATTTCGGACATGGGGTTTCCCAGCCCTACATGAAATCCTGGGAATGGAAATTGGATTTACTGTACTGAATGCTGTACTGTGTTGTTGTTGTTAGTCGCAAAGTCGTGTCCGACCCATTGTGACCCAATGGACAACATTCTTCCAGGCCTTCCTGTCCTCCACCATCCCCCAGAGAATGCTTTACTATAGAACTACAACCTCTCCCATGGACTGCCTCTTGGGATTTAATAGGATCAGCTGAAGTGTGTAGTATCCTAATCCAGATTAGTGAACAGGAAATACAAGTATATTATCTTACAGGTGGCACTAAATGAATTGGAACCTCATCATCCATCACCCAAATTACCTCTTATCCCACTCCTGGTGCATCCTAATCATGTGCTCTGAAAAGCAGTTTCAAATTTCCAAAAGGGGGGGGGAAATGCATTTTGAATACCTGTCAGAGGCCACCCCAAGGTCACAAGACACTCAGCTTCGTATTCTGAGTCACAGGAAAGGTAATGCTATAAGAACGCCCTTCCCAGTGAATCAGAATTGGGGGATGTTTTGTCACTTCCATCGTCTTTTGTCACAATTGGTTCAATTTTGTGCATGCATCTTTGGCAACGCTGCCTGGCTGGCAGAGGCAAATCTCCCCCAGTTGCAGCTTAACTTTTAGGGCCTCTTCTGGACTCATTGTCTGGATGTTACTCCACCCCATTGACCATCTGGAATGTTTCTAAAATGGTTAATGAAACACACACATCACCAGCTGCCTCTTGGTTTTCATGGATGAGACTCCAGCCCAGTTCCAATACCGTTTGGGAAGAAATAGCTAATGCCAAAAAGATAACGTTCTTGTTTGGATCATGCTTTTCCCTCCACATGCATAAATGAAGTATAATTGGATAATTAGCAATGTGGGGCTGAGGAAGCAGATCTGTTTCTTGGCAGGCAACCAAAGGAAAGACCACTATTACCTTTTTGCTTATCTCGTCAGGCAAACTATATTTGCCCTGGGTTTTTTTTAGGTCACAAACAGCCAGAAAACATCCATGTTTTTGTTCGAACAAGGCAAGGAAAGCACACTGTTTTCCTTTGTGCAGCAAATAAAGCAGGGGAGGAAAAACAAAAGAAGGAAAGCAAAAAAAGCATGAAGAAGTGGGGAAGGAAAGACTCACACTCTAATGTTAGGAACAGGGAATTTAACCATGACCTACCAGCAAATTTAAATCACAATGAGCGATTTTGAGCACTTACACATCAGGTTGCAAATTGCTCTTAGCACATGCCTCAGGTTGTCCTGCAGGATGACTGGAATTTGCCCAGGATGCTAAGCCAGGGAAAGCTTCCTCAGCAAATTTAATCTCTGCAAATATCTCTGTCTGATATTTACACCAGAAGCAAGACAACCAAGGTGCTAATTTTGCAGGGAATCTATGAAACACTTTGGGAATAGATTTACAGTGCTATCTTGGCTTATGAACTTAATTTGTTTCACGATTCTGGTCGCAAACCAAATTGGTTGCAAACCGAGTCAAATTCCCCCATAAGGTTCAGTGTAAATAAGGTTACTCCGTTCCTGAACTATATATGATTTTTTTAAACCACAGAAATATGAAATGAAGTACAGTACAGCATGAAGAAAGATAAGACTAATCTTGCTTGAGGCGACTTCTGGCGTGGAGGACAGGAAGGTGGGGCGGAGTTTATTGTTTGGAGGGAGAGTCTGCGACCGAGTTATTACTGTAAGTAGCAGAAATCAGGTGTGCCTCACCTCAGAGGAAATCAAGGAAAATAGCATTGTAGCAGAAGCCAGGAGAGGTGCAAATTCTAAAAAGTTCTGGGCCCTGGCTCATGGGACCGAAAAACAAAATAATTCAACAAACAACCAGCCCCACAACGTTGCTCAAATTGTTAATTTAAATATGCTCTAAATTCTGTGACACGCCCACCCCCCGGGCCTGCTCAGAGGATGTTCATTCTTTTTGAACAGCACATGTGTTTAAATGTTGCTTTCATGTTTGCATTAGATTC